ACTCTTTCCCGTTTTGAGGGTTCAAATTTTTATATTGAAGTAGAGGACACTTTTTGATTTTGTGATATTTGGAAAGACGATAGCATTATTTGTGCCTGGTCTTAAATGTTGAAACAATGTCGGGAACAAAGACGCAAAGCTGCAAGAATAAAGCCACATTGTCAACTTATACATTTACCCTAAGTGTTCCATGTACAGCTCATTTTGTGCTGACAGGTCATATATTCATAACATTGACTTTGAGTAAAACTGCCTCTGAATTTAATTAAAGTGAGTGTCATGAATTCCACACGATTATTTCAGAAAAATATTTGTAATTTTTGGTTTGTCCAGTGCTTTTTCTTTTGCACTTTCAATGATCTCATTGAACTGCAGCTGTCCCCTGTTGTTCATCAGGTTGGGTTGTGGCACTGTGCACAGTATATTGTCTACTGGCTGCCAAGATTCTTCAGCATCTGCTGACCAGGGTGTGTATGTTTGCCCATCTTACCTACATGTATTGTACATTTACATGTGCCCATCATCATACTTGCATGTATTGTACGTATAATTGACAGAGTTTACAAAGGAAAGAGCTGCAATTAATGATGCAATTGTACTGGAATGTAGACGTAGCTACAGCATCATTTATTTGGTAAAAATCTTTAATTTCATTAACTGATTCAATTTCATGTTTTCACAGTGAAAATTACACTCAATTTCTATTCCTGGCGTGTGACTCGTGTGACATACAGCGCGTGTGTGACTCGCGTGACACTCTTGAAAGAGTTTTTTCTACAAGGAATGCAAAGCAAATAAGAATATTTATGCTTTTATTGATAAACTACTACTGTATTTGATTTACAAATATCAAACACTAGCTGAATCCCTGTCTAGTTTTTAGTAATCTAAAAAAAATTGTCAGATTATGTGACTGGCGTGACATATTTTGAGGGTGTTTTCATGATGAAAACCTAGGAAAATACAAAAAGTATTTGGAGACCTTTTCGATGTTTTATCAAATAGACTGGAATAGCTACCTAATGTATGCATATGAAGTAAAATCATATGAATGAGCTTCAGTTACTTTCTAAGTTTGTGATTTGTACCCCAGCCACTCCTTTTTGACCACAAATTTCCTCCATATTCAGGAGACTGTAACCTAAATAAAAAATTCTTTGATTTAAAAGTTCTTTTGAGATTTAGATGGTTTAAATATTCCTCTTATCAAATACAACTGAGAAAAATTTATTTATTTCACTTCAGTTTTTAAGTTTGATGATGACCCTTACACGGAATGGCTGAGCAAGATATTGAAGTTTGAATGTGTGTAAAAATCAATTTGCCAGAACCTGAGCCAGGCTGTTCACCAGATGCCATTGAGCAAGCAGACCAATCCTGGAAGACAATGTCTAGTTACAGAGCACCCCCAAGGCGTTCCGAGAGAAAAATCTGGTGCCCCTTGTCGAATGCAAGTCTCGTTTTACTAGCCTTCGTTTCGCTGCTGATTAGCTGGTCATTTCTCTGAGGTACATTTTAATACTTTCAATACAACTCTTAAAGCTGTGAAACTAACCCATTAACTTATTTCTTCCCCCTTAGGTTATATGCCAAACTATATTAAATTCAGAAATTCAAAATTTTTAGTTTTTTCTTCAAAGTCAGCATTGTGATGTAGGCCTGTGCCAGGTACCCAGATACTGGGGTACCTGCCTGTCAATATCAAAACCTGGTTCCATTTTTTCATCCTGGCTGCCTGTTGAAAAACAGACAGAAATCTTTGTATAGAATGTATGTGAACTTTCATTGTGAAGGGCAGAATTGCTGGAAAATCACCATACCACTGAAAAACCCTGTCCCGCAGTCATAACTGTGGTTCAGAGGTCACATACCCCACCCATTGTAACAGCAAACCTGTGAACACAAGCCGAAGGAATTTCATATCCTGAGGTGGCCGCACCGTTGATGTGCAAAAAAAGATCCCTGTTTCGGGCACATGGTCCGCCGAGATTATGTGCTGTGCCATTTGTTAATGTGTATTTTTTTTAGATTTTAAGGGTATCCAGTATTGACATCAAACAGGCACCAAGGTCATACAGGTCATACTCGTGTTGTCATGTAGGTGGTATTGAAAAAAATTGATTTTTGGAGAGTGGTTACCTTGTGTATGACAAATGTGATGTGGATGAACATTATTTGCATTGACCCTAGCCTGTTAACACTAATTGTGGTTTTTAGAAGTTGTCTATGGTATGTACAACACAAGTGAGGGACACTGACATGGCGCTACAACAAATGTTACTGTGCTCCTGAAATTTTAAAGTAGTGGCCAACAAGTACTCATTCGGGTACAATGAAAAAAGTGTGGTCCTGAGAATTTTACCTACAGAGTTTGAGCTTGTTTGATGAGAGTTTTGGAGACGGTGTCTCCCAAGCCTTTTTCCTTGCTTGTTTGTATTTGAATGGACTTTCTGTGGATTGTGATACACAGAGCCCTAAGCTCATGATGTACCAGTACCACAGCATTGAGCATGCACTCTGCAAAGTTTAGAGACTACATACAGTGTATTTTTTCTTATAAGAAATGCAAAATCCAGTCGGTTCTTGCAACACATAGTATTATTCATTCTACATAGATCCCTTTGGTGATGAGGCCAAGCAACGTGTGTTCTCTACTGGCAAGGAGTTTGGGCCCATGCAGCCCAACTCGTGAATATTCAAGACGTGGTGATCTACATGTATACACAAGGTCCATCTAATCCAGACCAACTGGGTGTTGGAGAGACCACCAGGTAATCAAACCTTCTTGCTGAATCAAACACTTCCTGTAGATTTACTTCAGAAGCACTGTTGCGCTGAACCCCAAATTTATGTCATATGATCATGAACAAATATTCTAAGTATCTTTGCATTTGCTGATGTCCACTTTAAGTGAATAACTGACTTCCCTGCGTTGCCCAGTCCCATTTGCCATTAAGTTGAAAGCAAAGTGAGTCAGTAATGAAACAAGACCGCTAATAGGAGGAAAGCTATCAGCTGACTGCAATGTGTATGGTAGACTGCCTGCTAATTCATCGTAGTCTGAAGGTGAAGATGATTATCTCTTCCGCACTTAGTGATTGAATTTTCATAAAACTTTTGTAAGCTGTGGTGCATACTAAGGCATTGAAGCTGTGTGAAAAGTCGGATCAGTTTCAAAAACTTTTTTCTACGATCTCAATCTCTGTTATAGCAATTTAAGCTCTTGTTTACATCTAGCAATTTGTTCTCAACAGTGTGCATCCATGGCCTGCATATGTTCACATTGATCTGGATCATCAGCCTCCCTGTCTTGTCAACGAGTACTACTGCATGAAGGTGGCAATAATCAACAATGAAGAAGTAGCCATTACACTTCCTATGTATGTGCATCATAGGGTACATACGGCGAAAAAAACAAAATCAATGGATAAGAGACTATGCCACTTAAATTTATGTCCAATTTGTGCAGGGGATGAAGCATGTATGTTTGCTTAGCATGGAGAGACTTTGTCCAGCACAGATGGGTTACAGCCAAAATGTTGCAATGTGCGTTGGTAGTAACTGGTCCCTGGCTGGTTTTCAGTCAGCCAGAAAATGTGCTTAGCGACATGTTCTGCTAGCCTTCCCATGAGATTGGACCAGGGAGAAGACTGTAAACTGCTGTGAACTGCTGAGTCCAATTTATTCTGCTTTGGTTAAGACTAGCATGTCTGCCTGTGAAAGCCACTAGTCAGCCACAGGGGCTACTTCCCGTAGACTTTGGTGTTAATGCCACAAGTTCACTGTGGTCATTAGGAGGGTTGTGTATTTTGATGACATGATATTTGTTCAACCATTTGTGGACAATTGACAATAGGTTTTTTCTGTTCAATTATTCTCTGATATTTCTTTATGTACATGTATATTGATACACATGTATATTGGTCAGTTAAGGAAAGAATGCAAACTTATCTCGAGGTTTACCCCAAGGCACCTCACCAACCCTGTTAAACCTTGTAAAACTTCCAGGTAATCCTGTTTAAAATTGCATTCTTCCCCAACATTGCCTGGTGCATACAGATGTTCATAGTAATGACCACTTGCATCATTAGCATTGTTCTCTTAAGACTGTCACAGGACTCCACGGGATTGTCACAAGACAACAAGACCTCCAGTCTGAATTTAAGTCACAAGCTACAAATGATGTGCAACAAAAGTATTCCTTTGTGTTGTCCTTGTTACTTTTGACTCGTGTGACCTGCCTTGTAATGGTGTCAACTACAAACGGATCATTAGCACTCTGTTCACCTGCTTAAAACTCCCATTTTCATGAAATGAAAAACAAATGAGTCAATGGCATATAGGCAGGTGAAAGGAGAGTGACAAAGTCCTGTATGCCCCAAGTGTTTTCAGACAGATTAGTGTCACTTTTTGCAGTATAAAATCTCAAAAATGAAAAAACCCATGGGATGGATTGTCCCAAGTGGAACAAAAGCAGTGAAGACCAAAACTTTCATCAATAAAAACCTTTACAAATCAAAACTTTCTACCCGCCATGAGTTGAAGTGCTGCCTCATCAGCAAAGAAAAGACAGGTTAATTGGAAGTTTCTCTCTTTAATACGGAAGCATATAGAGGCCACAAGTTACTGCAGTGACTTAAGTCGTTGAATGCCTATCTCACTGTTATATGACCTTGCCGCGGTGTCAAACTGAACTCCCGCCGCAGCGAATATTTCAGTAGTTTCAAAATTCCTGTTATGTATCATCAGGGTGGAATGCATTGAGATTGGGTCTCAGATCATTTCAAACAAAAGGAGATTTGGTATTTCAAAACAGTTTGATTTCCAACAAAAAACAAAAGAAATCTCATTCGCGGCGTGAATTTCCATCTTTGCAAATTGGGTAGACTATTCTGCATTCCCTAGTTGACTGCCTGTTGGAAAGATTACCGTGCCTTTTCATTTATACTTACACAGGGTGTCCACTTCAAAAAGTTTAACTGCAATGGCAAAAACTTTATATGTGGGAAAGAGAAATAAGCGTAGAATGTCCTCTTTGCAATGGTATACAGCTTGTGATATTATTGACACAGATGACTGAACAAATTAGACTGATGGATCAAAAGTCACATGCAAAAGCACT